TCTTTTTAATACAGTTGGTATTGATACTGTTAATATTGTTATTGGTGTTATGATTATTAAATTTATTAAAATCTCAATAACATTTAAAACAATGAAATAATGCAAAAGTCCCTTTCCAAAAGTTGAGGAAAAGGGTGAACAGGTGAGACAGTAAGGACTAATAACTGACTCCTTGGTGACTAAGCACTTGTATTACAGTGGCCATGACATATATTCTTGCCATTTGTGCCTACTGGGTTAAAAGGGGACCAAGAAGGAAAGATGGGAATGGAAGGAACCTCCTTAAAAGGAGGGGGGGAGAAGAAGGAGAGTAGGGAATGGAAGGGGGTCAGAAAGGGAGCAAGGAGGAAGTGGGAGGTGAAAGAAGCAAGGAAGAGAGAGGCCAGTGAAAAGCAGGAAGCAAAGGGGTAGGAAATGAAATATGTATATATACAGCTTAAATAGTGATCACAATTTTGATTAGACAAAAAAAAAAAAAAAAGTCACAAGAAATGCTATTGAAAACCCTATACACTAACTCATGCATGTTGCCATTATGAATGCCTGGCTTAAAACTTGGTTTATTCAATCACACATTAGGACTTATATATACTCTTTATCCTTATCAGTTGTTGCAGAAAAAAACAAAAATCTGAATTATACAGCAAGGGCTTCCATTCATTACTGGGAGACCAGCAGGTACTCAGTAGGAGCAGTTTTACAGTACTTACCCTCTATAATGTATATCATTAAATTTATGATGGGATCTGTAAGGGAGGATATATCTAGCATCTGTGTCATTCCTGATGAATTTAAATCCTCCTCTTTCGGAAAACATCTGAGCCATACTCTATCACCTGTTGCTTGGAGTTTCATTCATACTTTATTTGATCCCAGATGAAGTATTACTAATACAACTGGTCTCAAAGATGTTTATCTTGAAAGAAAAATATTTAAGCATCATGTTAAACAGGATCGAAAGATTTTTTGCTAAAATATAGAATCACTGTTAGCCTGGCACTGGAAAACAATAGCAGTAGGAGGAAAAGTTCTACTGTCACAATCACCACCATGGATTGTTACAAAACAATCAAAAATGACAATTGGAGATTGAGTGATAACTTCTCTTCTCATAAAACCAACCTTGTTGCTGCTGAGTATATGTTTGTGGAAGTGCAAAAATGAACACATAGACTTACACACATATAAGAAATTTTTAGTAAATTACTGGTACAAAAACTGACAAAGTTTAGGGTTCATTTTATTTAAAAAAGATAACATTGGGAGAGCTTTTGTAAGACATTTGAACTTAACACAGTCTGACTTGTTGCTTACATTTCACTATTCAAATAACTTATAGAAAACCTGGAATTATATATAACAATGACAAATCATCATATTTCCTAAAATTCTTCATTTCCTAGTTTCACTGCTTCTGTGGGTAACCTAAACAACAAACTCATTTTCCTTATCAAGGTCACTCACAAACAGGACACTGACAATTCCACTTATCGCTGATCCCATAAATAAAGGTAATGCAATAACAGAATTCCAAATAATGTCAGGTCATATCTACCACTACCTTTCCTCCCTGTCTGAATCCTCTATTACGTCCCTCGTGACTATAAGGCTTCTGTATGCCTTCTCATGTGCTTTATAAGATATTCTTTCCGGATAAATGACGCACTACATACCTCACACATATATGGTTTCTCTTGTGTATGTACCCGGAAGTGTCTCACCAAATGATGTTTATATGTATAGGTCTTACTACATATCTTACAGGTAAAAGGCTTCTCCTTTGTATGTACTCTCATGTGGTCCATTTGATATTGTTTTCGTGAGAATCCCTTGTTGCAAACTGTACATGTATATGGCTTCTCCTGTGTATGTATTCTCATGTGGAAAACTAGACTAGTATGCCCAGCAAAACCCTTGCTACATATTTCACAAACATAAGGCTTCTCCTTTGTATGTACTCTCATGTGCTGCTTTACATCACATTTGTGAGCAAATGCTTTACAACAAACCTGACATTTATGAAGTTTCTCCTTTGTATGTACTTTCATGTGTTTCACAAGAGAACCCTTCACAGAGAATGACCGACTACATATATCACAGTTATATGGCTTCTCGTCTGTATGCACTTTCTTGTGTTTTACGAGGTTATCTTTCAGAGCAAATGCTCTGGTGCAAACCTCACATCTAAAAGGTTTCTCTTTTGTATGCACTCTCATATGTCCTGCTAGTTTACTATTTTTGGGGAATTTCTTGCCACATATTTTACAAACATAACATCTACCTTTTGCATCCACTTTTCTATGTGCTTCCTCTTTATCACTTTTCTCTTGTGTCATTTGACCTTCTAATGAGCATTTACTCCCACAAGTCTCAGCCAAAAATGGCACTGCTGACGACAGTGGATCTACATCTTCACACATCAAAATGTCAGAGTCAGTGTCAACTGCTTCCTCTCCTTGAATTTTGAATTTCTCATGCAATGGATTTTCATGTTTTACATCTACCTTTCCTGCAGTCTTTATATAGATAATATTTTCTTCTGAGTAATTTCCCAATGATCTTTTTTCAAGACTTTTGGCTTCAGTCTTGATATAGAGAGTATCATCTTGATCTATATCATCAATAACTTCTTTTACTTCCTGGTAATCCTCTTCATCAAAGTCTTTTATATTTTCTTCCTTAATGGCAATAAATTCACAATTGCTGTCAAACATTTTCCTTTCCAAACCTGAGTCATCCATGATGGCACCTGACATCCCTCACTAGTTACAACTGCTGCAAAGGAAGACAAAAGCAAAATAAATAAAACAAAATTGATTATATCTTTTTTACATACAAAAATGTTTAATATATGAGTATAACAATTTCTCAACTGCTGATTAATCATAACATGAAATTATATTAATTGATTTTGTGTGAATTTTGATGTTCATATCAGTTTTAAAGACATCATTCTTTTCTATTTATGACATTAATGATGACAATGCAGCTGAATCATGTTAAGATATATATATATATATATATATATATATATATATATATATATATATATATATATATATATATATATATATATATATATATATATTTATATATATATATATATAATTTAGCCAATATCTAATCTCTACACATTTACTGAAGTTGAAAACAAATCAAATGCCTAGGAATATAACATTTATAAAACCATATGAGTGTACTAGTACTTGCTATTGTCAATAATAATTTTGAAAGATTTATATTTATACCCAGTTATCTATCTCTCAAGCTCCTTCAATATGTATGTATGTATGTATATATGTATGTATGTATGTATGTATGCACGCATGCACACAAATGCACACTCACACGTATATGCACATAGATACTTAAGGATGGCATGTATGTACATGCCATGCCCACTGTGAGTCAACTTGTTTGATTGTTTTTACACATAGATGGCTACACTTGTACTAAGTATCCAATGAGCCAATTACGAGTACTGCCTGTCTCGCCCGTTCACCCTTTTCATCGATTTACAAAAATATTTAACGTTATCCTAATTTGCTGTTAAAATTAACACCATCTATATTTATAGCACAAGTAAGAATACGTTTTTTCCTGCCAATTCAAGGAAAGGTGAAATCAGGACTAGCAGAGCCATCTATGCACAGAGATATTTCACAAAAATATAAAAAATGAGTACAGCATTTTCCCCATTTTTTGTTTATTTTCCCCGGCGGCAATGGGTTAACCCAATGCCACCGGGTATGACGTGTACGTACGTACTATGCCCACCGTGAGTACTTGTTTGATTGTTTTTACGCATAGATGGCAACACTTGTACTAACTCCCCAATGAGCCAGTTACGAGTACTGCCCGTCTCGCCCGTTTACCTTTTTCTTTGATTTACGGAATATTTTACGTTATCTTATTTTGCTGTTAATAATGTTAACCCATTCGCCACACGTGGCAAGAATAGATGCCATGCCCACTTTGATACACGTTTATTTATTGTATTTACACATAGATGGCTCCACAAGTTCTTAATCACCATATAGCCAGTTATCAAGAACTACCTATCTCACCTGTTTACTCTTTTCCTTCACTTTAGGAAAGTGTTTTTATTTTTTTATCATTTCGTTATATAAAATATTCTAATGACAATTTAATAATCATAACATCAATAACAATACTAACCGTATCGATAGCAATGGTATTAATTTTCCCGCCAATTCAATGAATGGGAAAATCAAGGTCGGTAACTAGACTCCTTGCCAGCTGAGCACATGTGGAGCCATCTGTAGGTAACAAAATTCACCAAAAACTACAGGGGACAGAACATAAATCCGTGGTGAATGGGTTAAAAGACATAATAATTTTGATGTTTATGATAAAAATAAAACCATCGATTTTCATAGCACTAGTGTCAAATACATTTTTCCCGCCATTTCATATCAGGCGCTACCAGAGCCATCTATAGGCAGACATTTCACAAAAAACATAGAAAGTGGGCACAGCATTTTCCCCATTTTTTTTTCATTTTCCTCGGCGGCAATGGGTTAATATATATATAAATATTGATATATACTTATATAAATATATATATATATATATATATAAAATATATATATATATATAAATATATAAATATATATATATATATAAATGTATATACAGATAGCCCCATACTTAAGAACATTCTACTTATGAACATTCCATACATACAAACAAAATTTTTTAAGTACTAAAGTCAAAAAAATTGTATGAAAGATGCTAGCAAACATCAAATTTCCCGGGCACGAATATAGTTCAAGAGTCTAGTACTGTATAAGGTATGTCGTACTTATTGGGATTTATTTACAGGTAATCTTAATGTAAACAAAACTTTAAAACAATGCGAAAAAAGGTAATGGAGACACGACTTTTGACATACAAACAAATCAACTTACAAACAGCCTCTTGGTCCCCATTATGTTCTTAACCCATTCGCCACACATGGCAAGAATAGATGCCATACC